CGTGGTCGGTCCCCTGTCCGTCTCTCTTGGGGTCGGGTTGCTGCCGATCAGCGCTGTTGCTGGCCAGGCCAGGCCGACGGTCCGCGGCCGCAACGCCGCTTGCCGGGGCCCGGCCTGCAGGGAAGAGTGATATACCACCCGAGATGGGTACGATTGAAGACGAAGAGGGCGGGTATCGAGGGTTTGGGGAATACACGTTTCGTGACATTCGGGCAGATAAGAGCGACGAGTCTTAAACTGATTGTTGTTGTTGGTGGAGCTGTTGTGGTTGTGGTTGTGGTTGTGGTTGTCGTTGTCGTTGTCGTCGTCGTCGTCGTCGTCGTTGTTGTTGTTGTTGTTGTTGTTGTTGTTGCTGCCGTTGCCGTTGCCGTTGCCGTTGCCGTTGCCGTTGTCGTTGTCGTTGTTGTTGTTGTTGTTGTTGTTGTCGTTGTTGTTGTCGTTGTTGTTGTTGTTATTATTGTTGTTGTTGTTGTTTGTGGTATTTTTGTGAGTGTCGATGTTGAACTCTCACTTCTGAATCATATTTTTTTGATCACCACGCCAGTGAGATATGTGTTTTTCAATTGAAGTGCCCTTAATCAGGGCAAGTCTTGGTGCTCAACCTGCGCCCCTGGCCCCCGAGCTGCAACAAGAACTGCTCCCGCCTGAGACCTCTCGCAGTTCATTGAAGAGTCGCGCCCTCGCTTGCGACGTCCTTGCAATTCACCAAGGAATCGTCGCTCGCCTGAGACTTCCCTGCAATTTTCTACGGCGCCGCGCTCTCGCCGCTCAGGACTCGCGCTCTCGTTTGGGACTTCCTCACAATTTACTTCAGAATCGCGCTTCCGCCTGGGACTTCCTTAAGAGTTATGCAGGACTCACGCATTCGCGATATTCAGGCAACCCGCCTGCGCCTGAGATTTCCTTGCAGTCTGCTGAACCACGCTCTCGCCTGAGACATCCTTGCAGCAATTTGCTCAGGCGCCGCTGGCTCGCCAGTCACGCGCCCTCCCAGGCGTTCTGGCCACTTCCGCTTGAGACATCCTCGCAATTCTCGGTTCCGAGATGCCCTGAGCTGATGCGGTCAGGCCATTTTGGCTTGAGACATCTGCACAGCTCTGACCTCGGAGATGCGCTGCCCAATGGTGGTCCCGCCACTTTCGCTTGAGACACACTCGCAACTCTCGGTTCCGAGATGCCCTGAGCTGAGGTGGTCAGGCCATTTTTGCCTGAGACGTTCTCGCAACTCTGACCTCGGAGATGCCCTGCCCCACGGCCCATGGTGGTCCAGCCAGTTTCGCCTGAGACATCCTCGCAACTCTCGGATCCGAGATGCCATGAGCTGAGGTGGCCAGGTCACTTTCGCTTGCGATATCCTCTTGTGATACATCATCCGAGTGCTGACCACATCCCTGTATTGGATTGGTGCTGTCGCCTGCCACATCCCCTATTTGGGTTTGGTATTTGCCGCTCGAGCGCCAGCCTCTCCTCTTGCTTTTTCCTCCTCATTTGCCCCTCCCTCCCTCTTCAAGTCTTTGATTTTGCGACATGTGCGGGCATGTGTGTTCATACTTGTGGAGTTGTTCTAGACTGTGCATCTAACTGTGCATCGGACTGTGCGGCATGTGCGCGCATTGGCGGCAATGCTATGGAGGCCCTTTCGGAGTTGCATGGGCATGTGCATGCGACTGTGCGGCATGTGCGTGCATGTGCGGCCCCTTCCGGACCTCAATTTGAAAGTGAGCACTGTATAAGTGAGCGCTATAGAAATGAGTCTGGTGTATTGTCAACCTGTGTTGGAATGGTTGGCGCAAGCCATGGCGGAAGCTCAATCGCAACTCGCGGCGCAAATCGTCGTCCGCCCTCCCTGTTGCCCCTCTCTGTTGCCCCTCCCCTCCTCCCTCCCTTCCTCCGATCCTTTCGTTTTCATTCTCTCCCTTTCTCCTTCTTCCTGCGTTTTCCTGTGAGGGGGCTTCTCCTCCAACCACACGTTGCAGGGAGGGAATCAAACTCCCCAAAGGGGTACGAGCGAAGACGAAGACGGCGGGTATCCAGGGTTCGGGATTTGCATACTTAATGACGCGCGATCGGATAAGAGCGAACCGTCTTAAGATGATTGTTGCTGCTGCCGCTGCTGCTGCTGCTGCTGCTGTTGTTGTTGTTGTTGTTGTCGTCGTCGTCGTCGTCGTCGTTGTTGTTGTTGAACATTATTTATTCTAAAGAATAATTATTGTTGGGCCCCCTGGTGCGCGCCCCCCCTGCGCCGCCTAGGCCGCAGCTACATTTTCATCATTTTCGTGAGGAAGCCTCAGAAAAGAGGGTGTGTACAGGATCCGGTTGTTTTGTTGTAATCCGCTTTCCCTTGCAAAAAACAATAGAAAATGACATTTCTTGTTCTAATATAATCAAATTTCAAGAATCCCTTGCAAAAAATAAGGTAAAGTGGACATTCGCGCGCGCAAGACGAAATCCTTCCAAAAGCTTAGTGTTCGCAGCGATTTTAACATAAAAACATCAAAAAACCAATGGTTTTTCAACAAAAAATGTCAAAATCTCATCCCGCGCGCTCTTGCGGATTCGTAGGAAACCCAACACTTTTTAAACATTTCTGTCAAACGGGCTTTTGCGAGCAACTTTTTCGAACTTCTGCGACAACGGTTGCGCACCTGCCAGGGCCATCATCCCTGTCAAATAATACCATGCGGGACACATTCGTTTTTTCTTCGCGCGCGCACGCCGTCGTCGTCGGCCGCGGGGCCCTGAATAGTAGCCACGGTCGTCCGCATGCCACGAAGTGAAGTGTCCGAACGTCATAGGGCGGGAAGCTGGGTGTGGGTGGTGGCGAAGAGTCGTTTGGAAATTTGGTAGAGCTTGAACCGGCCCCCCCACAAAGTGGGGGTATTGCCCGCCTCCTATGAAAACCCTGGCACTGGTGAGAACGGAGTGTCCCCACGTGCTAGTAATTGTTGTTGTTGTTGTTGTTGTTGTTGTGTTAATTCGGTTTGATGTTTTTTGTGAGGTGTTTAGTTTTACGCGGGGTGTACAAGGTGGTCGTCGTGCTTTGCCTTCATGTGAACACTTCCTGCTCGTGTTTTCAGTTAGTGTTTGGAGTTTGCCGTTTAGTTTGTAGTGTTTTACCTCTTTCGTTCTTTCTTTCTTTCTCTCTCCCTCTCTCCTCCCTCTCTCTATCTCTTCCTCTCTCTCTCTCTCTCTCTCTCTCTCTCTTTCTCTCTTAATCCATTTCGGCCTGCCCGGGGCCCGGCGCCACGAGGAAATGACCCCGCTGCGACAGCACGCCGATTTCGGGGATGGGGCTGAGAGCTCCAGCGGCCCGCGTCGTGACTGAGAAGACGCGATGTCGGAGGTGCGGGGCCGTCGTTGTCGTAGGAGAGGAGGGCTTCAGGAAAAACTCGGCACGTGAGGCTCAGGTGCAGCCGAGACGCTGAAGTCAGGACCACACTGGGCTCAGGAGGGGCCCTGGCCTTCGGGCCGCTCCTCAGATGCATGTCGGGGGACTTCTTCGTGGCCGAGGCGCGCCGTGGACAGGAAACCGCCCTGGTGTCTCAGTGGGCGTTCCCTATGGCGGCGCGATGCGTTGCAGGGTGCTCCAAGCTCGGGTTCTGCGTTCAAGCAGGATGGCGGCGAGCAGGAGTGCAGCTGCGCTGGTCATTAGGATGCCTCCTGCGGCCGGGAACGCTTGCTGAGCGTGTCGCGCCGCCGGTTCTGGCCCACCGCGCTTCGGCGTGACGCGCTCACCACCTCCCGACTCCCAGGCGTCAGCGTCCCGAGCCTTTCCCGGCCTCCAGTCCCGCGCAGCGGAGCGAATAATACATTCTAGACAACTCGCTGATAGTGATTCTATATTTACAGGTATATATATACACATGTACACACATATATATATATATATATATATATATATATATATATATGTATATACACATACATATATCCATTTAGCACGGACTCTGACACAATCGAACCCTTTTTATCCGTTTTCTGTTGTTCTGCTCGTCGTGCTTTGGGCTGGTACGCTGCTTCCTGCGTGGCGCAGGCTTTGATGCGGCCGGCCCCCTGGCCAACGTCTGGCCACGCGCAGAAGGGGGGAATGGGGGAGGGGGGAAGGCTCCTCAGAAGCACCCCTGCTTCTGAGAAGCACTCCTACTTCTAAGAAGCCTTCCCCCCTCCCCCTGCCCCCTTCCGCGCGCCGCCCAAACGGTGCCCCCTGCGCCGTGCCTCCGCGCGGACCTCTCGGGGGGCGGGCCCGGTGCCTCGAAGCCCGCGGCGCCCCGCGCGCGGCACGCTCGGCCGTCCGCGCGCCCGTGGCCATCCCAGCGCCCTCCGCCCAGAACGGTGCCCGAGATCACGCTCCCCAGACCTCCGCGCGTCGTGAAGCCATCGCGACGGGGGGGGTTTCGCCATTTTCGGCCTCCGGGGGCCCTTCCCGGGTTTCGGGACCGTCAGAACACGACACAGGATGAAGAACCCGTGCCCGGGAGGTGGCCTCCGGTGGCCCGTCTCCTCGCGCTGTGAAACAATCAGGAGGGAAAAAACACGCAGACACAATGAATCGTCGATTCCAAGGAAAATATGGGAAAATATTGGAAATATGGGGGGAAAATAAAAACCTAGAAAATATGGGAAACTATGGGGAATCCTTTTGTTTGTGTGTATTTATTTGTGTGTCCCAGGGCCCCTTCAAACAATTGCGACGGGAGGGTTTTCGCCATTTTCGGCCTCCGGGGGCCCTTCCCGGGCTTCGGGGCCGTCTAAACACGACACAGGATGAAGAACCCGTCCCAAAGAGGTGGTCCAGACCTCTGGGGGTCGACGTTTTGAAAAAATCACGACGTCGGGGGTTTGGGCCATGCGTTTTTCATGAGTTGGCTGGTTTGATCATTTTGTGTTTATTGGTATGGTTGTGTGTGTGGTTGCAGGGAGATCACTTCTTCCATTGGCTCGCATCGACCCGCGGGAGAGCACGGCATGCCCCTCCGCTCTGGGTCCCCTGTTTGGCCCAGGAGCTCTGCTGGCTGGGGCGCCAGCTGGAGGGCAAAGCGCGCGGCGGCGGCGGAGACAGGGACGGCGACAACGAGACGCTCGCCAGGGTGTGCTGAGCCGCCGCACCGTTTTGTCACGTTCGTTGGCGCACCAGTTGCTGGAAATATGGTGAATGGAGTCGCTGCCTCGAAGGCATCGGCCTGGCATGGTTTCTGTTTCACAATGGTCGCAGGGGTGGTGCTACTGGTGGGCCTCGCCCTGCTCTACTCAAGGGACCAGGTGGCATCTTCGTCGCGGTCGGGCACATTTCGCTCGCGGTCTGCGTGACGGTCAGGGAAGAGGGCCTCTTTTTGTTGATAGACTAAGTCGTGTAGCCTGTTCCTGTTCCTCCCACCCCTCCTCCTCCTCCTCCTCCTCCTCCTCCTCCTCCTCCTCCTCCTCTTAATTCCTTTCATCCTCGTTCCGTTGCTCTTCCTTCCTCTTGCCCTCCTCCTTCCCTCGTCCCTTTCCCCTCCTCCCCCTCCTCCCTCCCCCTTCTCCTCCTTCCCTTCCTCTGTCCTCTCTTCCCTTCCTCCTTCCCGTTCTCTCGTGCCGCCGACCCCCGAGGTCCGACGCCGCGAAACACACGCAGCGCCGACCGCTGGAAGCCACGGCCGGGAGCCCCAGACTCCATTTATCTGAGGCGTCCACGAGTTGGATCCACCCGCGAGGTCCTGGAGCCCGCGTCCAGGCGGAAGCGTTCCCTGTACATCGGCGGCGGACGAGGAGGGGATGCGAGAAGGAGAAGGCCTTCTCAGGAAGCCGCGGGGCGTCTCAGGAACGCGCCGGCTTTTTGAGGCATTCTCTGTGCCATCGGGGAAGGCCTAGAAAACTTCTCAGAAAGCCGGGGGACTTCCGAGCCTTCTGAGAGAAGGTCCGCCCCTTCTCACTTCCCCCCTGGGCTCGCCGCCGAGTGTAACAAATGTGCCGCCAGGCTCTCAGGGACAGGGAACTTGGCATCGCTCGGACGCGCGCGCGTGTGTGTGTGTGTGTGTGTGTGTGTGTGTGTGTGTGTCTGTGTGTGTGTGTCTGTGTGTGTGTGTGTGTTTGTGTGTGTGTGTATGTTTTCTCGGCGAGGGCCATTGAGGAGCATCCCAGATCATCTTCTGAGAAGTTCACGCACAGAGTCGACAAATGTATGGGGAATGGACATCCGAGCGATGGCGAGGGAAGGGCTACAGCGAATCATCGACCCAGGGTCGCCCATTCGTCGCCCACAGGGGCCTCGATGCCCCACTCCGCCCAGGAGCGTGCGGCTCGGCCATCGGGGGCCTGTCGCTGATCTACATACAGTCAAGACGCTGACACAAGGAACAGTTTGGGCTCGGAAGGGGTTCGATGTTCCGTGTGTCCTTCCATGGCTGTTCCTCTAGCTCTCCTCGTGCGCGCAGGCGCTTGGGGCCAAAAGGGGGCTTCGTTCCTCATTCATCGTTCCTTAATTCAGCAGCTCGACTGTATCTGTGATGCGTCGTCGATCCCAGGTCATGGCTTCCCCCCCGAGCTGGCCCTCCCCTTTCGGCTCACCTCACCTCCGCCAGCTGACGGCGGGGGGACGCCTTCGAAGAGCCCATCGCCTCGAGAGAATCGGGGAGGTTCTTGATCCGTTCTTGGCCTCGGGGGGCCTTCACTGGGCCCCGGGACCGTCGAAACACGGCTCGGGACGAAAAGCCGGGGAAGGGGTCGAGATCTCCAGGGGGTCATGCTTCGAACATATCGCGCCGCCAAGTCTCTGTGTTGCATTGATATGGCCGTATCCGTTCAAGCAACAGCACAACCAGCACATCATGTGATCTTGCGGGCGTGTCTTTTGAAATCTTAAATTCCTTTGGACGAACAGAGTCCATGCCCATGCCCCCCGTGAGACAGCCTCGGACCGTCTTCGGGCCCTGGCCTGGCTCCTCACTCCCTCTCCCCTCCCTCCTCCCTCCGCCCCCTTCCCTCCTCGCTCCGCCGCTTCTTGGCCGCCTCAGGCGCTTGCTGCCAGGCGAGCACCCGCGCGCGTGGGGGCGCCTGTGTGCCCTCTGCGCATGTGGAATGCTGCCGCACGCGGCCGGCGCGATCACGCGAGCGCCCCGTGGCAGGGCGCGTTTCCAGTGCTGCATGCGCCGGCCGTGGCGGGGTCGAGCTCTTGTCCGCTTCGTTGTAGCGGCCGTTTCATGGTCCGCCTCGGCCGTGCTGGCTGGCGAGGCATGCCATGCAATACACGGGTATATCGGGTGTGGCCAGAAGCGGTCTTGGCCCTAGGTGTCCCCAGCTTGTCGCGCCTCTTTGGAGCCCCTGGGGCCCTTTGGGCCTGGCGACGGTGCCATCTGGGCCTGCCCAGGAATTCTGAGACACATCTTGGGCCAGTGACGCCTTCAGCACCACCCGAGTGCATAAGAATCTTCATTCCGCTGGTGGTTTCATGTGCTTGTGTCGTGTTCTGGAGGGCTCAGAAATGGCCAAAACCACTGCTTGGAGTACAGCGTTGTACATAACAGGGGGAGGATACTGATGGGGGATGGAGGGGGCGGAGGCGGAGGCGGAGGCGGAGGCGGAGGCGGCGGAGGAGGAGGAGGAGGAGAATTTCCAGGATTTCCACTATCACAAGAGTGATTTGAAAGAAGCACCCCTGAACACGATAAGCAGAGAAGAAGCATACACACAATAATACTAACACTAGTAATGATAATACTAGTACCACTAATAATAATAGGAAGAAGCGTAAGTGAAATCATACGAAGAGGAATGCTACGAAACGAAAAAGAGGAGGAGGATTGGGGAGGAGGCGGAGGAGGAGGAGGACGAGGAGGAGAAGAAGAAGGAAGAGGAGGAGGATGAGGAGGCGGAGGCGTAGGCGTAGGCGGAGGCGGAGGAGAAGGAGGCGGAGGAAGAGGAGGTGGAGGAGGAGGAGGAGGAAGGGGGCGGACGTGGATACGGAGGGCAGGAGGCGGAGGAGGAGGCGGAGGCGGAGGAGGAGGAGGAGGAGGAGGAGGAGGAGGAGGAGGAGGAACAGGAGGATGAGAAGGAGGAGGAGGAGGATGAGGAGGAGGAGAAGGCAGAGGGAGGAGGAGGCGGAGGAGGAGGAGGAGGAGAAGGAGGAGGAGGAGGCGGAGGAGGTGTAGGCGGAAGAGTCGGATGAGTTGGCGGTTGTGCAGGCGGACGATGATGTTGATGCTGGTGATGTTGAGGATGATGATTATGCTGCTGATGATGACGATGATGCGAAATATGCCAATGCTGATGATGATGATGATGATGATGATGATGATGATGATAATGGTGTTGATGATGACGACGATGATGATGCTGATGCTGCTGCTGATGACGATGCTGACGATGACGATGATGATGATGATGATGATGATGATGATGACGGTACTGACGACGACGATGATGATGATGATGATGGTGGTGCTGCTAATGATGTAACTGATGATGATGACGACGAGGATGATGATGATGATGATGATGGTGGTGGTGGTGATGATGATGGTGCTGATTATGCTGATGATTCAGACGACGCTGCTGATGCTGATGATGATGATGACGATGCTGCTGTTGCTGATGCTGATGTTGTTGATGCTGATGATGCTGCTGATGACGATGATGATGATGCTGATGATTCTGATATTGCTGCTGCTGCTGCTGATGATGATGATGATGATGATGACGATGCGGCTGATGACGATGCTGATGATGTTGATGCTGATGATGGTGATGCTGCTGCTGATGATGATGATTCTTATGACGATGGTGATTACGACGACGCTGCTGATTCTGATGATGATAATGCTGATGCTGCTGCTGACAATGCTGCTGCTGATGATGCTGCTTCTGATGCTGACGATGCTGCTGCTGATGATGCTGCTGCTGATGATGATGATGGTGGTGATGATGGTGATGGCGGCGTCGCCGGCGACGATGACGATGATGATTATCTTGCTGCTCACGATGACGATGATGCTGCTGATGATTATGCTGATGATGATGAGGATGCTGCTGCGTCTGCTGCTTCTACAGATGATGCTGATGCCGCTGATGATGATGCTGATGATGACGATGCTGCTGCGCATGATGATGCTGCTGCTGATGATGACGATGATGCTGGTACTGATGATGATGCTGATGATGATGATGATGATGACGTCGATGATGATGCTGATGATGATGCTGAAGATGATGATGCTGCTGACGTCGATGATGATGATGATGATGATGATGATGATGATGAGGATGAGGATGAGGATGAGGATGATGCTGATGATGATGATTGTGATGGTGATGATGCTGATGATGATGATGATGATTATGATGATGATCATGATGCTGCTTCGGATGATGATGATGATGACGACGATGATGATGATGATGATGCTGATGACAATGATGATGATGCTGCTGCTGATGATGATGAGGCTTCTGCTGCCTGATGATGATGGTAGCAACGATGATGATGAGGACGATGATGCTGACGATGAGGATGATGACGAGGACGAGGATGAGCATGATGCTCATGATGACGATGATATTGATTATGCTGCTGATGCTGCTGATGATGATACTGATGATGATGCTGCTGATTATAATGAGGATTGCGATGCTGGTGATGATGATGATGATGATGATGATGATGATGATGATGATGATGGTGATGATGCTGCTTCTGATAATAATGCCGCTAATGTGGATGCGGATGATTGTGATGCTGATGTGGACGATGCTGATGGGGGAAGTAGATGATAATGATGATGTTCATGGTGGTTGTGATGCAGATGATGACGATGAGATCGATGATGATGTTGTTGATTGTGATGATGAGACTCATGATAAGGGGCATGTGGCTGAAGACGATGCTGATCAGACTGCTGATGATGATGAGGGTGCTGCTGATGATGATGATGCTGATGCTGATGCTGATGATGATGTTGATGTTGATGCTGATGATGATGATGATGATGATGATGATGATGATGATGCTAATGAGCATGATGATGATGATGATGATGATGATGATGACGATGTTGTTGATGATGATGATGATGATGATGCTGATGATGCTGATGATGATGTTGATGATGATGATGATGATGATGAT